GGGGAGAGAACCAATAGCTCTAAGGAAAACACAGGGATTCTCCCTAGCGGGGGGGAGGGGAACTGCTTCGAGAGCCCTTCCCTTGCCTGGTCTCGGAGAACTCCAGGCTGATGACGTTAAGGACCTTCTCCCGACGGCTGCCGCAGTAGTAGTTCACGAAGTCCCCCAGGCGCATCTTCAGGTCCGCCTGGCGGGTCACGTCGATGACGTCGATCTCCTTGTCGGCCCCTGTAGGAAGGGAACAAACCCCGTTATCTGTCGGGGAAGAGGCGGGTCCTGCTTGGCTACCGAGGGGGGCACTGCGGGCACGCTTGGCTTCCGACTGCGGTTCCATCCCCTGGTGCCCTTCTCGAGGCGTGCCCGCAACCAGTGTTCCCTCTAAAGCTGAGTTAGTGTGAGCCAGCTCACAGTTTCTTAGCCTCTGGCTCACGCGTTTTCGTCTCAGCTCAGGGAGGAGGGCTCCAGAGCAAACTCATCTATGCAGCAGCCAAATCGCCCGCTCACAACTTTAATGCCGGTAAGCTCACAAAGCAGAATTTTTGCCCACAAGACGCCACAGCTTAGAGGAAGCATCGCTCATATCAACAAGCAATTTGAGGCTACGCAAACTGCCACAGGCAGAATGAGTGTCTGCCTCTAGGATCGGCAGCTGCTTTCATCCAAGGAGCAGTGCCATGCTTCTGGCCACCAACTGCTAGCAGTGATCCCCCAACAGGGTGCCCGTCAGCACTAGGGTACCTGCCAACTTGCTTCCAGGAGAGGATCGGCAGCTGCTTTCATCCAAGGAGCCATGCCCCGCTTCTGGACACCAACTGCTAGCAGTGATCCCCCAACGGGGTGCCCGTCAGCACTATGGTACCTGCCAACTTGTTTCCAGGAACCAGCTTGCTATGCACCCCTAAATCAAGGGCAAATCCTGGTTTTCATCTGAGCAGGAGTCACTCCAGAAGGCATCGCCTTCGAGCCTGCGGGAAGCCTCGTTCAGAGATAACTGCCCCAAACAGCCTCCCATTTTATGATTACCCCCCACCCATGCTAGGGTCCCACCTCCCATGGGGGTCGTTTTGTGGTAGTGCCCACTAGTAAAGGTAAAGGTTTCTCTCGCTCGAAAGCCAGTCGAATCCAGCTCTAGGGGATGGTGCTCATCTCCGTTTCCAAGCCGAAGAGCCGGCGCTGTCCGAAGCCGTTTCCGTGATCATGTGGTCAGCATGACTAGATGCCTAGGCCCATGGAACGCTGTTACCTTCCCACCGAAGTGGTACCTATTTATCTACCTGCAATTTCTTGCTTTCAAACTGCTAGGTTGGCAGGACCTGGGACCAGAGACAGGAGCTCACTCTGTCATGCAGCACTAGGGCCTTCCGGTCTGCAGTTCAGCGTCTTAACCTCTGAGCCACCGCGGCCCTTTTAGCGCCCACTACCCTGTTGCAAAATTCCATAAGGGCCCCTAGACGCTACAGGTTTGGGGACCCCTGAGTTAGACTATAATTACACGCTCCTTTTGTCTCTGGGTTCGCGCCTGCAGGGGAAGAGAGACCTTCTCCTTCACAAGGATCTGTGGCCAGCAGAACAGTTACTATTTCAGAGATCAGCCACCAGAGTGTCCGTCACTTTGTCTAATGTCGAGCACAGGAAGATTCTGGGCTGCGGTAGCTTCAGCGCGGTTTGTTTGTTTTTTTATGTCAATTTTTTTTTTTATTTAGGATGTAAACATTCATAATCAACATTAAATTTTTTGCATTTGTCCCTTTCATACCCTACCCACCTCCCTTTCCCCCTCCCTAATATATGGCTTCCCACAGTGCTTCGGCCTCCTGCCCATCTCTTTATTAATTTTTACAACAACAATTTTCTTTTTGTCATTCACTAGGTAACTATTATTTCACTATAGTAATTAATTTTTAACTTATCCTATCTCCCGAGCATCTTCAGCGCGGTTTGTTGACTAGATTTGTATCCTGCTTTTCCTTGTTGCTCAAAGCGCTTTACAACAACAGAAGCAATTTCAAGTGCGCCGGTGTGCTTGCCTAGACTAGACACCCCAGTGCTGAAGAACCACACAACAGCTGCTTCTCTTGGACTTTGCCACTTTGGAGGTGGCAGACGAGGGATCCGGCACAGGAGGCTATTCTTCCGTGGCTCCCCCGGGACATGATCCTGTATGCCCCGAGGGCTTCTGATGCCGTATTGGGTGGAAGTATGCATCTTAAGGATGCTTAAGGAGCTGCGGTGGCTCAAGTGGTTAAGACGCTGAACTGCAGGCTGTGGAAGGTCAGTAGTTCAGCAGTTCGAGACCCGAGTGCCGCTTGACGGAGTGAGCTCCCGTCTCTAGTTCCAGCTCCTGCCAACCAGCAGTTCGAAAGCAAGAAATTGCAAGTAGATAAATAGATACCACTTCAGTGGGAAGGTAACAGCGCTCCATGCGCCTGGTGTTTAGTCATGGCGGCCACATGACCACGGAAACGTCTTTGGACAGCGCTGGCTCTTCGGCTTGGAAACGGAGATGAGCACCGCAACCCTAGAGTCGGATTCGACTGGCTTTCGAGCAAGGGAACCTTTACCTTTATGCATCTTAAAAATAAAGAAACCCTGCACATAGAGAACTGTAAAGTCTGGAGGGAAGCTAGCCTGGAACCTTTCTCCCCAACACTCTTGCCTCCCAATTTTTTATATGCTGGGAGACTTTGCATATGGGTGGGTGGTGGGGAATCGTTCAAATTGTTCACTAGAGGAGAGGTCCATCAGTGGCTATTAGCCAGAAGGTATAGACAGGGACTCTCGGTCTGGGGCCAGGGATGCTCTGTATTCTTGGTACTTGGGGGTGAGGGCAACAGTGGGAGGGCTTCTACTGTCCTGGCCCCACTGCTGGACCTCCTGATGGCACCTGGTATTTTTGGTCGCTGTGTGACCCAGAGTGTTGGACTGGATGAGCCATTGGCCTGATCCAGAATTGGCTTCTCTTTATGTTCTCTGATGTTCTTCAATGGGCAATCCTCCCCACCCGCAGTCCAGATGGTTTAGTCCAAGAAAAACTGCACCATGTGAGTCTACTGCATTTGTAGGCTGGCTGCTTTCGGTGGCGGCAGATGTCATAGACCCTGCCTCGGTGGGGAGGGCGGGGTATAAACTAAATAAATAAAAAATAGAGGGCTGGCATTATTATTATTTTCTCTTCTGCATGTGTTCTGCTCCCTCCTGTGGTCGCTTCGATATTACACCGTTGCATCTTAGAAGTCCAAGGAAATATGCCGGAGATACAGTGATATAATATCAAAACAACCACTAGGGGGAGCAGAACTCAGGTGGGAAAGAAAACCCCCCTAAAGCAACAGGGGCACGCAAGTGACAGAAATGGGAGTGCAGAAGAGCCTGTGGCAGAACAGGCCCGCTTCTCCTACAGACCCTGCTCTGCCCACCCCCTCCATTCGGTTCCCAACTTCTGGAGGGAGCTATTCTGCTTCCTTCCACGAGGTTACAACTACCACCACTGTCCTTTTGGGATCTCCCTGCCAGGAGGGAAGACTCCTGACTCCCCTTCTCAGTTCTGAGACTGGGCCTCAAGGTCTCTTGCTACCCGGCATCTGGTTACCAGAGACCAAATGTGTCTTTGGGGCTCCCCTGGAGGGCTGGCCACCAGCACATTGACCACCTCCCTCCCCCATGGGGTCCCCCGTTTCCTCTGTAGCATTTCCAACAGCGGTTGGAGGGCTGTGAGGTACAAAGAAACGCCACCGGCATCAAAGGGTAAAATATTGATTTGAAAAGAAAATGCTTACAAGTATGCTTTAGCACCACACACCCCAAATCGGCACAAAGAAGAACAAAAGAAAAGGTGGCCAGAAAGGCATCCTCTCCCCCTCTCCTCCCAGGGCTCTTTTTGTAGCAGGAACTCCTTAGCATATCAGGCGACAGACACCTAATGTAGCCAATCCTCCCAAGAGCTTACAGTAACCCCTGTAAGAAGAGCTCTGTAAGCTCTTGGGAGGATTGGCTACATTAGGGGTGCGTCGCCTAATATGCAAAGGAGTTCCTGCTACAAAGAGAGCCTTGCGGAACTGATGTTAACAAGAGGGTAGGCATCTAATCTTAGGTAAAGGTTTCCCTTGCTCGAAAGCCAGTCGAATCCAACTCTAGGGATGCGGTGCTCATCTCCATTTCCAAGCCGGAGCCAGCACTGTCCAAAGACGTCTCCGTGGTCATGTGGCCAGCATGACTAAATGCCGAGGCGCACGGAACGCTGTTACCTTCCCACCAAAGCAGTACCTATTTATCTACTTGCCATTTCTTGCTTTTGAACTGCTAGGTTGGCAGGAGCCGGGGCCACAGACGGGAGCTCACTCCGTCATGCAGCACTCGGGTCTCAAACTGCTGAACTACCGACCTTCCGGTCTGTAGCTCAGTGTCGTAACCACTTGAGCCATCGCTGCCCCTTTCTAATCTTAGAAAATCACAGATTCTCTAAATTCTCTAAAGCCGTCCTGAGCCTGCTCCAGCGGGCTATAAACTGAATAAATAAATAAATAAATAAAGCTCTTTCATTACCTCTTGGCTCCCTGCAGGCCTTCCCCAGACCGCATGGTCAAAGATGGCTGCCAGCCTGCAGACAAGAGCTCGGCGGTCTGTTCTCTTCCAAGGACCAGCCCGGAGACACACACACACACACACACACACACCCCCGGGCTGGAGCCAGCACGTTTATTAAACCTCTGACTCCACCCATTTTACATCACTCTCCCCACCCCTTTTGACCTGGTCCTCCCAGGTCACACAGGTGAACCCTGGGAGCCCTCCTGGAAGGCATTCTGGGAAATCTCCAGCTCGTTCCTGGAGATAGTCTCCGGGGCTGGTCTAGCCCAACGCCTCCCACACTCTGCTTCCTGCCTGGAGGAGGGGGATGGGTTGGCTCATCCCACTTTCTCTTCTGCCAGGCTCATTTGCATTTCTAAAGAGGCCGCTCAGGTGCTTCTGGGGCGCCATGGGCCAATTTCCTCCCCCTCCCCACTTGTTCCTAGCTCAGAGAAAGAATACTTTAAAGCTTGTTGGCCAACCTTCCCGGACGCCAGGCATTTCTCCACAGAGCCCATTGAAGCAGCAGCAGAAGAGATTCGATTTATACCCCCCTCCTGCCGCCGCCCTTCACTACCCAAAGGAGTCTCAGAGCGGCTTACAGACTCCTTTCCCTTCCCCTCCCCACCACAGACACCCTGTGAGGTAAAATAATAAGAAGAAGAGATTGGATTTATACTCCCCGCCATTCACTACCCAAAGTAGTCTCAGAGCGGCTTACAAACTCCTTTCCCTTCCCCTCCCCACCACAGACACCTAGTGAGCAATGCTCCCTCTAAACTGTGCAGTCTCGTGAACACAAATTCTGCTTTGTGAGCTGCAGCCATTAAAGTTGTAGGTGAGCAATTTGGCTGCTGCATAAATCAGTTTGCTCTGGAGCCCTCCTTCCTGAGCGAAGACGAAAATGTGTGAGCCGTAGGCTAAAAAAACTGAGCTAGCTCACACTAATTCATCTTGTGGGGGAACACTGCCTGCGAGGCAGGTGGGGCTGAGAGAGCGCTCTCGGGGACTGCCCTCGAGAGAACAGCTCTGAGGGAACTTGTGACTGACCCAAGGTCACACCAGCAGCTGCATGTGGAGGAGTCGGGAACCAAACCTGGTTCCCCCAGATTAGAGTCTGCCCTCCTAACCACTACGCCAAACTGCAGCCTGGATAGCATTTCCCTCACCGTAAAACGATGCTCGGGTAACCTCGTCAGTCCCACAAGCAAAAGGCCGCGTTACCTCCAGCACCCTCTTCCCGGCTCAAATACCAGCAGCGGCTAAACCACCCAATGCAGAGTTCTGCTGGGCACCCCGTCTGCCCCCTGCCCCGGGGAACTCACCCACGTAATGCTCTACGTCCCGCACGGTGAAGGAAGGGGGCGGGATCGTCATGCCCAGCCCGTCCTTCTTCAGGACCAGTATGGGGACGCTGAAGCTGTTCTCCTCCAGGAACTCCACCGTCAGCTGGGCTCCGCTCGGTTTCAGGATCACCTCGTCCGCACTAGAGAAGCGGGGGAGAGAGTCAGGATCAGGCCGGAAACTTCCCCTCGGGTTGCGGAAATGTGCCTCCGAGGCCTGTCCCTCATGGGCCCTCGCTATGGACTCATCCACACAATGCATTGCTCTGGCATGTTAACAGGGATCTCTGTAATGCAGGGGTCCCCGACATGGTGCCCCCCTTCTCCGGCACCCAACAACTGTTCTTAGGAAGTGGGCGGGGCCAGGTAGGGCTCCCACCCAGCAAGGCTTCTGATTGGCTGTGCGGGTTTTTTTTTAAATGTTGCTTTGGGAGCAGCTGCCGTGCTCCCTCGAAGCTGTGGAGTCTCGTGAGCAAAAATTCTACTTTGTGAGCCGCTGGCATTCAAGTGGTGAGCGAGCGATTGGGCTACGGCATGAATTAGTCTGCTCTGGAGCCCTCCTTCCTGAGCAAAGACAAAAATGGGTGAGCCAGAGGCCAAAAAAGCGTGAGCTAGCTCACACTCACTCAGCTTAGAGGGGACACTGGCTGCCAACACGACACCAGGATCTACGCTGTGACTGAAGTTAAACGGCAGCAATCGTCTCCTCGTTTATTATTTTATTAAGCTGGGTCTGCTAGGGGGCCATTTCGGGGCAGGGGTTTTGTCGCTGCGCCTGCCGTGCTGCGTCAGAGTTCCAGATTTGCCCACAGGGTCAAAACAGGTTGGGGACTCCCGCTGGAAGAGTTCATTGTGAAGGGGGAGGGGTTTTTTTTTGCTTCTCCCCCCCCCCCAGACTCGTCCTCGGCAGCAACCTCGCCACGTCTCTGGGGAGTCTCTGAGCAGCCCCTGGCGGAGTGGGGCAGGTGTGTGAGCGGCTGCACGGGGAGTCCCCAAGGAGACAGCCAGAAGACAACAGGAAGCCAGGGCACGGAACAAAGAAACACGTCTTCCAGAGATACTCGGTGAGCCGAGACTGCGTCAGGCTGTCAACGGAGTTAGGCTCTCTATCTACGGCACAAGCCTTGTATTCTCCCCCCCAAAGCTCAACTTGATGCCGTTTTTTAAAAAAAAATCTTTTTTCAGTCTATGTCTTAACCATTATTGATTAAAAGATTTGCGCCCTGCCTTGCCTCGTAGCTCGAGGCGGCTGACGATGTATCTACATGAAAACACAAGCCATTACAATTTTTTTTTAAATGAACCTTTGAAGATGCCCACAACTCAGTTCCCAAATGGCCCGTGCACATAACAAAAAATCCTTCCAATGTCAACACCTCCTTGGACAGCACTCCCCCCCCCACAGTTTTTCAGAGAGCCGCTATAGACAAGGAACGAGCTCTAGCTGACACCAAAAGAACATCAGAAGAGCCATGCTGGATCAGACTAGTGGTCCTTCTAGTCCAGAATCCCGTCTCACACAGTGGCCACCCAGTTCCTCTGGAGGGCCAACAACAGGCGTAGAGACCGAGGCCTTCATAAGAACATCAGAAGAGCCCTCCTGGATCTGACCAGTGGTCCATCCAGTCCAGCATCCTGTCTCACGCAGTGGCTAACTAGTTCCTCTGGAGGGCCAACAACAGGGCAGAGAGGCCAAGACCTTCATAAAAACATCAGAAGAGCTCTCCTGGATCAGACCAGTGGTCCATCCAGTCCAGCATCCCGTCTCACACAATGGGCAACCAGTTCCTCTGGAGGAAACACAACAGAGCAGAAGAGCTCTCCTGGATCAGACCAGTGGTCCATCCAGTCTACTATCCCGTCTCACACAGAAGCCAACCAGTTCCTCTGGAGGGCCAACAACAGGGCATAGAGGCTGAGGCCTTCCCCTGATAAGAACATCAGAAGAGCCCTCCTGGATCTGACCAGTGGTCCATCCAGTCCAGCATCCTATCTCACACAGGGGCCAGCCAGTTCCTCTGGAGGGCCAACCACAGGGCAGAGAGGCTGAGGCCTTCCCCTGATAAGGACACCAGAAGAGCCCTGCTGGGTCAGACCAGTGAGGGTCCCTCTAGTCCAGCATCCCGTCTCACACAATGGCCAACCAGTTCCTCTGGTGGGCCAACCACAGGGCAGAGAGGCTGAGGCCTTCCCCTGATAAGGACACCAGAAGAGCCCTGCTGGGTCAGACCAGTGAAGCTCCATCTAGTCCAGCATCCCGTCTCACACAATGGCCAACCAGTTCCTCTGGAGGGCACACAACAGGGCATAGAGGCCGAGGCCTTCCCCTGATGTTGCCTCCTGGCTCTGGGATTCAGGGGCTTAGTGTCTCTGAACGTGGAGGGTCCCCTCAGTCACCATGGCTAGTTGCCACTGATAAGCTTATCCTCTATGAATCAGTCTAATCCCCTTTTAAAGCTGTTTATTCCTGTTTCCATCACTACATCCTCTGGCTGCGAATTCCACATTTGAATCGCTCTCCGTGTAAAGTAGTAGGCAGCAACTGCGTGGGGCTGGAGGAGGGGGAGAGGGACCATGGTGAAAAGGGAGCGACCAGAAGAGGATGACTGGCCCATGGGGGTGTGTGGGAAGAGAGATGGTTCTACTGATGCTTCCCTGATGAAGAACGCGTGAACAATCCAGATATTGCCCAGGCTACCATTTGAGGAAGAAACCCGTGTTATAATGAACACACAGTCTAGACGCTGCTGTTTAATAAAATCCTCCAGGACCAATCTTCTATCTTGAGTCTCTGCCACCTGTTCAAAAACAAACCGACGCCTGGAAAAATCCGACACAGAGAGAATCCCAAGGAGTCCGGCTCATTAGCAGTGTAAAATGGTCTTGTGGGAACTGATAAGCCGCAGAGAAGAACAGCGTGTTTTCTATTTGGTTGCAGTAGTGTTTTCTGGTGTTTTTCAGTTTGGTGCTGTGGTTAAGAGCCCGGACTCTAATCTGAGAGAACCCAGTTTGATTCCCCACTCCCCACCCCCAGATGCAGCCGCTGGTGTGACTGTGGGTCAGTCACAAGTTCTCTCAGAGCTGTTCTCTCAGGAGCAGTCCTTGAAGGAGCTCTCTCAGCCCCACCTACCTCACAGGGTGTCTGTTGTGGGGAGGGGAAGGAGATTGTAAGCCGCTCTGAGACTCCTTTGGGTAGCGAAGGGCGGGGTATAAATCCAATTTCTTCTTCTCTTCTTCTTCTATTAGAAAGCCCTACTACTTACTTTCTTTCCGGCTTTATTTAATTCACTTACACCCCACCTCAATGGGGACCCAAAGGGACTTACGGCATTCTTCTCTCCGATCCCCACAACAATCCTGTGAAGCAGGCCATGCTGAGAGTGTGTGACTGGCCCAAGGTCACCCAGCAAGCTTCTCTGGCAGGAGTAGGAACTCAGACCTGGGTCTCCCAGATACTAGTCCGATACTCTTAACCAGGATACTACACTGGCGTATTTTAAATTCAGGTGGGGTCGCTGTGTTGGTCTGAAGCAACAGAACCAAGTTTGAGTTCAGTAACACCTTTAAAACCAACCAAGTTTAATTCTGGGTATAAACATTCACATGCATGCACTTATATCTGATGATGTGTACATGCACATGAAAGCTTATACCCAGAATTGAACTTGGTTGGTCTGCAAGAAGAAGAGATTGGATTTATACCCCGCCCTTCACTACCCAAAGGGGTCTCAGAGCGGCTTACAAACTCCTCTCCCTTCCCCTCCCCACAACAGACACCCTGTGAGGTAAAAGAAGAAGAAGAGATTGGATTTATACCCCGCCCTTCACTACCCAAAGGAGTCTCAGAGCAGCTTACAAACTCCTTTCCCTTCCCCTCCCTGCAACAGACACCCTGTGAGGTAGGTGGGGCTGAGAGAGCTCTGGCAGAAGCTGCTCTTTTTCAAGAACAGCTCTGACAGAACTACGGCTTGCCCAAGGTCATCCAGCAGCTGCGAATGGAGGAGTGGGGAATCAAACCCAGTTCTCCCAGATTATAGTCCGCGCACTTAACCACGACACCAAACTCGCTCTTAAAGATGCCCCTGGACTCAAAACTTTGCCCTGTCCTTTGGCACCCTGCTTTCTCTCTCTCCAAGTTTTCTATTCAGATGATATTTAAAAAGTCGCAGCACTGTTGGGTGGAGACCATAGTTCCCTCTAAACTGACTTGGTGTGAGTTAACCCACAGATTTTTAGCCTCCGGCTCACAGATTTTTGTCTTCGCTCAGGAAGGGATGGCTCCAAAGCAAATGAATTTATGCAGCAGCCAAAACGCTCGCCCACAACTTTAATGCCAGGAGCTCACAAAGTAGAATTTTTGCTCACAAGACTCCACAGCTTAGAGGGAACATTGGTGGAGACGCTAAGGATTTAAGCGAACGGCATGACGGTTCTTGACAGCAAGGTGACATTCTCAAAGACGGGGGCATCAGAGGAAGACGCGGGGTGTCCGCCTCCTCCTAAGGATCACCTCCCAGGTGTGCCCGAGCCCTCCTCCTTCCGTAGACAACCCACTCTTTGGGGGCACGCTTGCCCCCATTCCTTGGCAGGATGCTGGATCACAGGAAGCAGCCCCACCAGACCCTGGAGGTATTCCGCCTTGCCTGAACCAGGGTTTCGAGAGTCACTGCTCACATCTTCAAATACCTGAAGAAGTGGGCAGTGACTCAGGAAAGCTCCTCCCCTGCCACAAATTTTGCTAGTCTTTAAGGTGCTCCTGGACTCTTGCCCTTTTCTGCTGCTACAGACAGACTAACACGGCTGTTCATCTTGATCTATCAGCAGGAAGCTAGTTTGGGAGCCAGTTTGGTGTCGTGGTTAAGTGCGTGGACTCTAATCCGCGAGAACCGGATTTGATTCCCCACTCCTCCACTTGCACCTGGCTGG